TGGCCCTGTAACAAGCGGTCTCCTGCCCCGCTTCCACCTCTTCTGTGGTTCGGTTGTCTTCCTGGGAGCCTTCCTGTCTGCCCCTCAAGTCTTGGTGCTCTCCGGACTGAGGCCTTCTCTGGCTAATTTCCGTTCACCCCTGGTCAAGAGCACTGTAGCGATGCAGGCTCAGGTCCGGCTCTTTGGGAACTATGGAGCTCTCTTTATTCTCACTGACTTTGCTGCTGCTACTGTGTAAATGGGTTTCCAGGTTTTTCTGGGGAAGTTGTCTCTCTTCAGGAAGATGTCCTTGGTTTCAGTTCTTTCTCGTCCTTCAACTTCATTAATCACTTCAAAGCCTCTCCTCTGCCCTCTTAAGATGTCTCTGTGGCTTCCGGTACCTGGAAAAGGTGACCTCCTCAGCAAGGCCTATGAGCCCTCCGAGAGCTGAGGGCCAGCCACCCTGTCAGCTTGTCTCCGGCTGTCCCTGGTGAGCCAGGCCTTCTCCATAGCTTGCTGTGCTGTGCCTGGAGATCCCACTAGCCCTTGCTGACCTCACAGCTGAGGCAGCAGCTCTGACTCCTTCTTTCCCCTCCCTCTCTCCTTTCTTGTGTGCCCAGTGGCCTGTGCATTTTGTGGTCTGCACACTTGAGGGGTGGTGAGGCCCCTTGTAGATGCTCAGTCCTAGAGGACATGGTTTTTCCAGCACCCAGTGCACACTCAGCCCTCTGTGCTTACATAGAGGGCCTCCCCCAGAAAGTCACCACCCCACTGGACACTTGTCATTCACATCCTCCTCCTCCTCATTCCTTAACTGAGGCCTGGCACTCTTGTGCCATCTGTACTCGAGGCCCAGTTTTCCCTGGCTGCCTCACCACTTCCTGTCCTTTGCCTCAGGAACAGGTGTGGCACCTCTGGGGCACTTTCTGGCTCATTTCTGATGCATCTTCTTTTTTTCAAATTTTATTTATTTTTATTTTATGTGTATGAGTGTATTGTACTGTCTCTATTATGTAAGTGCACCCGTGTCGTGCAGTGCCCATAGAGGGTGTAGGATCCCCAGGAACTGGAGTTACAGACTGTTGTTAGCCACCATGTGGGTGCTGGGAAGTAAACCCATGTCCTCTGCAAGGACAGCCAGTGCCCGTCTCCAGCCCTCTGCCGCATTTTCATATCTCAGGTTTCCCCTCCTTCCATGCTTCCTTCTACCTCAGCCATGGGGGACTTTGCTTCCACATGCTCATCTGCTTATCTGCTGCCCTCACTGCTTCCCATGGTCCCCAGGACAGAGTCATATCTGCCTGCCCAAGAGCAGCATGCTGGCCTCTGCTACCCTTCTCATAAACATGTACCTCGCTGGGCCCCTGCTAGTGTGGCCCTCAAGCCCCAGCTTTGGGAATCGCTGGGATGAATGCAGCTCAACCTCTTGACCTCACACTACACCTGTGGCATGTGGAACAGACCTTAATATGTGCCTGTGCCATGACTGGCCCCCGTGGATTTCCTCCACCTCAGTGCCCACGTCACTGTTCATGGCAGCCAAATGCCCACAGAGGGATTTGGTGGTTTCAGGTGGCACTGTGGTCAGTAAGCCTCTGCTGTGGTAAGATAAACACTCCCTTGCCAGAAGGCTCAAATTGCACATTGGGTTCACTAGCCACTTGTCTTTGCCTCAGCAGCAGGACAAGAGGTTCTTTAACTAGGAGGTGCTATCTGCAAATCCTTGGTCAGCTGGGCTTTCTTTCTTGTGGTGCTGGGGATCAAACGCAAGTCCTTGAGCATGTTAAACATGTACTCTATCACTGAGCCACCCCAGCCCCAGCTTGTCTTTAAGGATTCCTGTGAAATAATAGAGTGTAGATGGTGGCCGGAGAGCTGTTGAAGGGCCCTGAAATGTGTCACATCTAGCACATAGCTGAGAGGTGGAGCCCTTACTAACATTTGAGGCTCTGGTTCTGTCCTCAGCAACACACACACACACACACACACACACACACACACACACACACACCCACCCACACACACACATACACACACACACACCCCAGCATGGTACTTGTGGAACTCCATTTAGACTCTGAATGTTAGGCGACCTCTCCTGCTAAGCTACAGCTACAAAAGTGTGAGATTTGTGTTTCTACCTAGAAGCCCTCCAAGAGTTGCCCACACGAGTAGTAACTGGACACCATCGTGGGTCTGGGGTCTGAATAGCACAGAGTTAATGACAGGGCTTTTGGAATCTGACAGACCAGAGCTGAGTCTTTGCTTTGGTTAGTAGCCACGTGATTTTTTTTTTTTTTTTTTTTTTTGTAAGTTGCCCATTTGTCCTTTCTAAACTTTTGTAGCCTCATATGTAAAGTAGGATTAGAAACAGAATGGTGCCTGCATTACAGGGGACTGGAGAGATGGCTCAGTGGTTAAGAGCACTGACTGCTCTTCCAGAGGACCAGAGTTAGGTTCCCAGTACCTACATGGTAGCTCACAACTACCTGTAACTCTTAACTCTAGCGGATCCAACACCCTCCTCTGGTCTCAGCAGGCACTCTCACACACAAAGACATACACGCGACATACATACACATTAAAAAAAGAAAATTTTAAACCCTGCGGGGGCTGGAGACATGACTGAACAGTTAAGAGCACTATCCAGGTTCAGCATCCGGGTTCAGTTCCCAGCACACAAACAACTGTCCATACTGCAGTTCCAGGGGATCTGATGCCCTCTCCTGACCGCTGTGGGCATTGCATGATACAGGAGCACCTACATAGATGCCAGCAATAGACTCATACACATAAAATAAAAATAACAAAATATTTTTTAAAACCCCGTGTTATGGAGATAGTGGAACTGAATGCACTGATACATATATACAGTTTAAGCTGTAACTCTGCAACTGTTAGCTGCTGTGTAATGATTCGCTGGGTGTGTAAATCCCAATTCACAGGGGGTGCCCTCAGGCACATGGCCAAGCTTGAACAAATCTACCTTTCCCCCAGCACCGCTCACTCAGAGAGGAGCAGGGAATTTCTGCATAACCCATGGGGTGAGACCCTTGGTCCACACATGCCAAGCATTAGAACGTCACTGCTGACGGTGGTGAACTGGCAGTGTTTCCTGGTCCTTCTTCCTCCTCCCATCTTTGTGTTTTATTGACATTTGTTTCCTTGTAGGGTTAGGAAGCATTTTGCTCACAGTTGAATTGTAGGTGTTGTTTCACACTTGAAATTTAGAGGTTGAGAGGCTGCTGTGTGCTGAGAACTCTTGCCTGCTGGCTTAACAAGGGACAGAGCACTGTGCATTTGTTCACTTGCTTCCTTGGTTCTGTGACTGCTGCTTCTGGTCAGGTCCAAAGGGGTAGCACAGCACAGAGGGTGCCAAAGGCAGGGACTTCATGTGATTTTATTCTGGGGAAAAAGGGGAGAGCGTGCTGGGAGCCTGCTCTGAAGGGCAGATGGAGTAAGTCAGGGAACAGTGTGGCCTGTTGTCTGCAGTGAAAGCAGGTTTTAACTCTGATGGGTCTTGTAGGAGAAGCCCTTGGAAAAGTAAACAAACTCCGCTTGAGCTCCGAACTTGTCCTTAAAGAACAGCAGCTCGAGAAAGAGAATGAATGAGTGGAGGCCTGAGACACAGAAGCCACCTGTCCTCAGCCGTCAGACTCTGTGCCCTGGCTCTGTCTTAGGGGTAAGCCCTGAACTGAAGAGCAGCTTGAACTTCATTTAGAAGCAAGAGACCGATGCTCCAGGTCAGCTGCACTGGTGGAGGATGGATGGCGGACACACGGCTGTGGTAGAGGCTCACCAGGAACATGGGAAGGGCAGCATGGAAGTGAACCAGGGGCTCGAGGGCCCGCATCTCCTAGAGCTGCGCGTCCGGGTTTCCTGGGACTGAGAGTTTGGGTTATGGGCGTCACAAGAACTGGCACTCCAGGCAATCCTGGGGCTATGCCATTCCCATGACCCCTCCAGTAAGAGCCCAAGCCGGCCGTGGCCGTGGGTCCTGCAGTTGGCTGCCTCTTCCTCCCCCGTGCTCTGCACTCCCTGCTCCAGCTACAGACTGGCTCATGCTGCTTCCACATGCTGCTCCCTCCTTCTGGAAAGCTTCTCTTGGGCAGCACTCCATCTTTCTGCCGGGGTCTGGGGTTTTTTGTTTGTTTTTTTAAGGTTTATTTTTATTATTTTTAACCATGTGTGGGTTTGTGTATGTGAGTGCTGGTGCCCTCAAAGGTCAGAGGTACTGAATGCCCTGGAATGGGAGGCACAGGTGGTTATGAGCCACCTGACATGGGTGCTGGGAACCAAACTTGGGTCCTCTGGAAGAGCAGTAGGCCCTCATAACTGCTGAGCCATCTCTTCAGCCCCAAGGTCTGCGTAAACATCTCTTCCTTAGAGTCCAGCAGGATCCTCCTGTTGGCATCTCCAGTGCACCCAGGACTTCTTTGTAGCTCTCCATCATACAAACAGCTGCTGTTCTGTCTGCTTCCCTAACATGAGGGCATGGGCTGTGCCTTCCTTCACACTATTTGTTTACTGATGGGATGACCAGAAGGAACAGCAATCTGTAAAGGTCTTTTTTTATTTTCGAGACAAGGGACTGCCTGTAGCCCCAGTTGGCCCTGACTCACTGTGTAGATCAGGCTGGCCGTGCTCTCACAGAGATCCACCTGCCTCTGTCTCCCTAGTGCTGGGATTAAGGGCATGCACTAGCATATCCAGCTTTTATTTTTTAGAAAGCAAGTTTTGACCTTTTGATTTGTCTTGGTCTTGCTTTCTAAATAATGCCTAGATAAAATATCCTATCACCAGATACAGTACACACCTAGAATCTCAGCACACAGGAAGTTGAGGCAGGATGATTGCAAATTTCAGGATAGCCTGGGCTACACAAAGAGACTGTGTTTATAAAGAAGCATGACCACCTCCCGGGCAGACACATTCCTTCTGGGGTTCGGAAATGGTGTGTTTCAGTGAATATACATGTGTTCAGCACTCTGACATGCTTTTGCTCTTCTCTCTTCCTACAGAATGAAATGTGCCTGGCCACACAGCAGCTTTCTAAGCAACTGCTGGCATATGAAAAACAGGTAACTGGATGGCAGAGTGCTGTGCTGTGCTGCACTCAGGGTTCCAAGTGGCCGTTTTTAAAGAGACTCTCCAAAGGCCCCCCTCACTGAATTTCCCCTTCCACCATCCTTCCCTCTGTTTCTCCCTTCCTTTCCTTTTTTCACCCAACGATCTTCCCTTTTGATGTTACTTTTCCCTCTCACTTCTGACCCAAAGCCCCTGTGAGGTACTCTGATGCTCCTGCAGAGGTCACCAACTGCAAAGCGGACTCCTGGTACCCAGGGAGGCCAAGTCAATCAGCACCAGCTATCCAGAAAGAACCTCAACAAAGAGCTCATTATGTGCAGGCAGAAGGGTGTGGCCAGGGGAGGAAAGGTCCAAGGACTTTGAGTGCAGCTCTGGGGCAGGACTGGGGAGCTCTGGTCTTCTTCGGCTGACGCTGGTCTGACAGGCCTTACTCCTGGGAGAGGGAGGGAAGTGGCTGCAGAGAGGGGGTTTGTGGGTGACCCTCTGCTGTGGACTCCTGTATCCAGCTAATACCTGGCTTCTTTATTCTCTTTGGTCCTAGAATTTTGCTCTTGGAAAAGGCGATGAAGAAGTAATTTCTACACTGAATTATTTTTCCAAAGTAGTGGATGAGGTAAGACAGCAAATAGGAAAATTTTATGATTCTTTCTCAACTTTTTTTCATCCTTATTTTGGCCCCCTCTGCATTTTACTTATTTAAAAAAAATTTTTTATTCATTTATTTTTATTTTATGTGAGTGTCTTGCCTGCGTGTGTGTACATGCACCTGTGTTGTGCAGTGTTTCACCTGCATGTGTGTATGTGCACCTGTGTCATGTAGTGTTTTGCCTGCATGTGTGTATCTGCACCTGTGTCATGCAGTTTCACCTGCTTGTGTGTACGTGCACCTGTGTTGTGCATTGCTTCTGGAGAAGAGGACTGGAGTTACAGATAGTCGTGAGTTGCCATGTGGGTCCTGGGAATGGAACCCAGGGCCTCTGCAAGAGCAGCCAGTGCTCTTAAGCACTAAGCGATCTCTTCGGCCCCACCCTCTACATGTGAAAATAACTTAATGGTCTTCCAGGTTCATTGCACAACAGAGGTGGTACATCACAGTATGTGTGGTTTGGAGGGAAAAGCTTTGATAGTAGAAAAGCCACGAACTGAGGACTCAGTTATGTACTCTGTCAGGGCTGCCTTAGTGCATTCCCACAGCTAGATGCTTCTAATAGTAGGAAGTCATCCTCTCACAGTTCCAGAAGCCAGAAGACCTAAGCAACGTGTCTACAGGGTCACACTCCCTCTACAGGGCTTAGGGGGAGTCCTTGTTTCGTTCAGCTTCTGGTGGCTTCTGGTGTTCTCGGCTTGTGGCAGCAAGTCACGTGATGTGACTTCATGTGGCCTTCCTGCTGCCTGCGTGTCTCTTCTCCTGTCTGTCTTCTCTTCTTACAAGGACTTGGGATCCACCTGGAAAACTCAGGGTGATTTCACTTTAAGATTCTTGATTACACTTGCAGAAACTCTGTTTCCAGATACTCAGTGTTCCGTGTTTGGGGTGGATGTGTCCTTTGAGAGGAGGGCACAGGTTAGCCCATTATAAAGAGTTTCATGGCAACTGTTCTTGTAACCATATTGTATTTGTAGAAAATCATTACTGTTATAGGAGATTGCATAAATCCTAACTGTAAAAATCATAAGAGGCCTGGGGATGTAGCTCAGTAATGCAGTACTTGTTTACCATGGGCAGAGGCCCTGGGTTTGATTCCCAGCAGTGTTTAAAATAAAAAAATCTTAAGAGTTCTGATGCTACTGGTGCCAGAGAGACCTTCCTGCAAAATTTGGGAGGTATGATAAGCTGCATCTTTCAAAGAGCTTGAAGTGTGTGCTTTTGAGAGAAACATGATAAAGTAGGCAAAGAAAGAATGTAGAGATGGCATCCAAGTCATTGGTCTGCAGGAGATAATGGATGTAGACATTCAGACAAGGGTGTACCAGTTGCATTTCACCCATTCACTCAGCCAACGCCAGATCGCCTTCGCAGGCTTGTTGAAGCACTGGAGATGGAGCAGTGACCCAGCCATCTAGCTCCTACTCAGCTTTGTCCTGTGTCCCATTGAGCAGTAAGAAAAAGACAACCAAACTATCTTTGCCTCCTGTATTTTCAACTCAGTACATTTCTGGTCACCATTGTACCCCAACTCTGATACAACCTGCCTGGAGAAAGTCTCGGGTCCCACAAGTAAGGATTTAGTCCTCCATGACTGCCCTGACTTCAGGTAGCAGTTCTGAGTCCTCTGGTGCTTCTGACTGATGGGCTAGAAACCAGGCTTTAGTTGGTTGCTAGAATGGTCACAATTCTTGGACACACTCAAGCTTACCAGTTGTAATAAGGAATATCACTGAGAGCACTGTGACCAGCCAAATGCAGGGATTCCTTGACCAGGCATGGAGAGGGCACAGACCTTCCACCTCTCTCTGGGTCTACCACCTCCTGAGCTCAGCAGTCTGGAAGCTTTTCAGATCCTGTGTTTCAGCATGTTTTGTAGGGGCTGCGTCCTATAGCTTTGATTGATTAAGCTCAGGCTCCAGTCTTTCTGGTCAGGGCCAATTTGGAGCTTGCTGAATGCTGCCTTATTAGAACAAAAGACCCTCTGTTACCAGGTTATTCTAATGTCTTGTGAGCTCTGTGCCAGGCACCAAGGTCAGAAACCAAATATTAGAGTAAAGGATGCTCCTAGCTCCCCTCTTGCTCAGAAGGTAGTGTCGGCTCTGTGCCAGGAATGAGGAATAGAGACCAAATATGTGTTTTTCATTCTAGTTACTTTTCTCATAACTGTGATAAAATGCCTGGCAAAGCAGCTTGAAGAAGGGTTTGTTTAGGCTCACAGTGGCTACAACCCATTATGACAGGGAAGGCCTGGTAGCTAGAGCTTAAGGCAGCAGTTGCATGGCATTCACAGTCAGGAGGCAGAGAGGTGAGCCAGTACTCATCTCATTCCCCTTTTTATGCAGTCTGGGACCTTAGCCCATGGTATGGTGTCACCTACATTTAAAGTGCGTCTTCCCTTCCCAGTTAAACTAATCTAGAAACCCCATCACAGGCCTGCCTAGAGGATTGTTTCCATGGTGATTTTAGACCTATCAAATTGACAGTTGTGATTAACTATCACACACATCGTCACCCCCACTGTAGGGGCTCTTTAAATATGGGAGTAGCTTAGCAGGTAAAGGCACTTGCCACTGAACCTGACGAGCCTCAGACCCACATGGTGGAAGGGTAGCACCGATGGTATCATCCTCTGTCTTCCTTGAATCCCCTGGCCCAGCACTGGCTGTGTGGTGGGGCCAGTCAGTTTCCAGTGGGCCGGTTTTTCTGGTGTGATGTCAGCCCTTGCAAGGGAGGTTGCTGACAGGCGTGGTGAGATGGCCAGCGCTGCTGAGCCCTGCCTAAATGCTGTGTTCACTCCTGGCCAGTGTAGCCTGTGATCTCCAGGTGGGTGTGGCCCAGGCTGAGAACACAGAGCCAGAGTTTGCACAGAAAGCAAAGACTGAGCCAGAGATGCCTTTAGCAAGCTTCACCAATGCCCCAGTCAAAGCCCTGCATTTCATTTTTAGTACTACTAGGCATACCTTGTTCCATGTTTATGAGGGTGTTTATTTGCTGAGGAAGTCTAGCCAAGCTGCTTAAGCACACAGGGGTATCAGCTCTGATCCCTTGGTGAACTGGAACCGTGTCAGTAATAATGTATTCAATTTCCTTCAACAAAGTCCTTTTTCTTTCAGCTTAATGTTCTGCACACAGAGCTGGCTAAACAGTTGGCAGACGCCATGGTTCTTCCCATTATACAGTTTCGAGAAAAGGATCTCACAGGTAACAGGTTCAGTGCAGTGATCTTCAAAATGTTAATAATGATAATTCTTACTGCATTCATTTCTTTCAACACATGACTGTTGAGAAATGCTTTTTTGAGCTGTTCAATTCAGCCAAGTTTTCCTGGCTCCCCAAATTCCAGCTCACCTGAAGGAGGCCACAGGCAAGTAAGACAGACCATGGTGTTATAATCTCTTAGATTAGGGGTTCAGGGATGGTGTCCTGGGTGTGGCAGCCTCTGAACTGGGTTCTGATGAAGTATAAATGCATGCTAAGTACAGTGATGTGGAGTGTATACTATAGGTTAGACATTTCTTTTTTTTTTGGTCTTTTTGAGACATGGTCTCCCTGTAACCCCAGCTGGCCTGGAACTCACTAGGTAGATCAGGCTGGCCTTGAACTCCCAAAGATCCCCCTGCCTTTGTTAGGATTAAAGGCATGCACCACCACGCCTGGCCAGGTTAGACATTTCTTTTTTTTTGGTCTTTTTGAGACAGGATCTCCCTGTAGCCCCAGCTGGCCTGGAACTCACTATGTAGATCAGGCTGGCCTTGAACTCACAAAGATCCACCTGCCTTTGTTAGGATTAAAGGCATGCACCACCACGCCTGGCCAGGTTAGACATTTCTAAAGGTAGCTAACTGTTCTTGGGGATTCATGGATGCTTAGGACTATAAAGTAGGAGGCTTGGAGAGGAAAGGATAGATGGGACCTGTGTCTTCTCTGTGCAGGCTCTGAGGGTGGGTTGTGAATGCAGACAGGGGCTCTGAGCGTGTGCTCTGAGCTCTCAGGCAGTCACTGTTCCACAAAACTCATGTTCGGTGGGTGAGTCAGGGAATCTGACTGGTTCCTACCCTCTGGTGGCCTTTTAGACTAATTATGATTCTTCAACTGAAATAAAACTTTACAGTAATTTTATATCTATTTGAAATAGAAACTAGTAAAAAATTAATATAAAAACGGAATTCTTGGGACTGAAGAGATGGCTCAGCGGTTAAGAGCACTGGCTGCTCTTGCAGAGGACCCAGGTTCGATTCCTAGCATCCACGTGGCAGCTAACAACTATCCATAACTCTGGTTCCAGGGGAATCCAACACCTTCTTCTTACCTCCAAGGGCACTGCATGACATGGGTGTACTTACACACATGCAGGCAATATATTTACACACAAATTTTTTTTAATATAATAAATTATATATTGCTGTTGTATTTATTATTTAGAGAGCAAAGAATTGTATTTGGAAAGACCCAATTACTGATCAAAAAAAAAGTAAACCTAAATGTGAGTAGTAGAGGATCAGATCTGTTCAGACACACAGCTGTAATATAAAATTACATATAACCAGCTGGGTGTGGTGGTGCAGGCCTTTAAATCCCAGCACTCAGGAGGCAGACAGAAGTGGATCTCTGTGAGTTCAAGGCAAGCCTAGAATTGTATTTGGAAAGACCCAATTACTGATCAAAAAAAAAGTAAACCTAAATGTGAGTAGTAGAGGATCAGATCTGTTCAGACACACAGCTGTAATATAAAATTACATATAACCAGCTGGGTGTGGTGGTGCAGGCCTTTAAATCCCAGCACTCAGGAGGCAGACAGAAGTGGATCTCTGTGAGTTCAAGGCAAGCCTGGTCTACATAATGAGTTTTCCAGGTCAGCTGGAGCTACAGGGAGACCCTGTCTCAAAAAGATCCCCCCTAAAATAATAACCTTACTTTAGAAAATATATATCCTTAATTAAAACCTATATCTTTGATTTAAAAGAATATAACTTTAATTTCTTTTCTAGATAGAAAAGCCATAGTAACTCTGAGGGCAAATATTAAAGATGGAGTCTTTCTCCCTCACTTTGAATGCTGCTGTTTTAGTGTCACCTGAGGCGAGACAATGCTGGAACTGCCCTGGACTCCACCCTAGCCACTTGGACAGCCCTCACACTTCATAGATAAATTAAAATTAAATAAATAAATAAAATAAATATTAAGTCAGGCTTGATAGTGCACGCCTATTGTAATCCCAGTGCTTGGGAGGTAGAAGCAAGAGGATCAGGAGTTCAAGGTCATCCTTGGCTGTAAACCAAGCTCGAGGTCCGCCTGGGATACATGAGATCCTGCCTCAACCTGAACAGAAAAAGTATTACTGTACCAGTTAACTTGTGCCCAGGGAGACTGTCGTGGGCAGTGCTGTTTATCATTAGCTGCATGCGATGCCAAAGCCTCATGTGAAACCTCAGTGTAGTCATGTGCTGGTGACCAGTCTGAACCAGAAGCCTCACTGTGTGCTTTTTGTAAGAAATTTTCTCTAAATTTGATCATTGAAAAGCCTTGTGTGGTGGTGAAATGCCTGTAATTCCAGCACTCGAAAGCCTAAGGCAGGAGGATTGCTATGAGTTTAAGGCCAGTTTGGGATGCATAGTGAATTCCAGGCTAATCCAGGGTATATAGTGAGACCATGTTTCAAAAAAGCCAAAAAAAGGAGAAACATTAGAAATGTGTAGGGTATTGTTTTAAAAGTAAACACCAAGTCTAAAAGAAAACACCCCCAACTCCTGTGACGTTGGACTTCTGTCTTTTTGGTGTGTCTGTGGGAGGCATACCTGGACTGAGTGCACCCAGCAGCTCTCAGGACAGTGGCCTGCATCAGTCCTCCATGCTCCCACATTCGGGTTAACATGTGCCCAGAATGGCCATTCCTTTTCATAGGAAAATAAAACTGTTCATTTAATAGCAAAACCAGAAGCTTTTTAGTATCTGTGAAAAGCTAATCAAATTATCCTTTTCTGATGACACAAAGACATAAATTTGGATGCTTGGCCCGGTTTACACTTGAGTCAAACATGAGAACTAAGTTAGACTCTGGCATCCCGTCTGCTTGAATAGTGTCTCAGCTCACATCCTACTGCCTTTAGTAATTTGTCCCCTAAGGCAAGTAAGTCCAAAGAGACCATGAGATTTTAACAAAGCTACTCAAATTGAAAGTTTTTTTAAGAAAGCAATTCTGTCCTAACAGAAAGTAAAAGATGAAAAGAAAGAAAGAGGAATAAATGAGAGGGGAGGGTCAGAAAGCAGTTCACCTCCAGACAGTAAAGTAGGGACGGAGGAATTTAAAAGCTGGAGGCAGTTTGGATGCAAACTGAAAAATAACAGAATTGTAAAGTGTTTTATTGTTTGACAAAGTAAGAATGGATTGTGTTAGCGAGGTAGGAATTGTGGCTCTTTCAGGGCTGTCTCTGTGTGCTTCAGTGTTTGATGTTAAAGCTCATTCTCTCATGATCTTTTTGTTGTTTTTCATCTTGAGTTTGTTGAGCCATCTTGGTGCCTGATAGGTGCAGTACTGGGGTCCTGGTTATTGGTGTTGGTTTGTGGCTGTAGTGTATACCAGTTTGCACCACTGTTTTCATTAGCCCAAGCACCTTAATGTTCCCTCATCCACTGGTGACTATGAACTTGAAGATTTGAAGATTTAGGCAACAGGAATCTCTGGGTTCTAGTGTCATCCTGCCTATCGTACAGAAGATGTACTGAGATACTTCAGGCCCTCAGTTTGTACTTCAGGTCTCCCAAGACAAGTCCCTGACTACGTCCTGTCTACCCACATGTCCCTTCACAGATGCCTGAACCCTGCTTGAAAAGGAAGAACCACAGGGTGGTCAAGGGTGTGGAGTGCCACTGCAGCCACCAGGCCAGGGCCCCATGGGAGCTGAGGACCTGCAGGGGCTGTGGGCAGAATCTGTGCTCTGATCCTCTCAGGAAGGCAGAGCCTGGGTTAGCACAGGTCACATTTCTTTGCTCTAACCTATTTTCTGTCCCTTTTTCAGAAGTAAGTACTTTAAAGGATCTTTTTGGACTTGCCAGCAATGGTAGGCATTTTTTTCCGTTTCTGGTGCTTGGTTTGGTGATGTACATGAGTTTAGAGTGTGTGTGTGTGTGTGTGTGTGTGTGTGTGTGTGTGTGTGTGTGTGTGTGTGTGTATGTGGGGGGCAGGGGACAACACAGGACAGTGGCTCTTGTTGTTTTTCAGCCTTTCTAGATGCTCAAATGCCTTTTGTTTTTAGAACATGACCTCTCGATGGCAAAATACAGCAGACTTCCTAAGAAAAAGGAGAATGAGAGGGTAAGCAAGCGCCTTCGGTGACGTTTTGTAAACTTGTGGTGGTAAAGGTGCCTGATGGAACCCTCTTTATCTTACATATGAACCTCTAAAGTCATTTATTCTGCACCTTGTAAGTAGACCTCCTCTTCACACCTCTAACCTTGCCCTCTGGCTTATTAAATGCCAACTTGGAACTACTGTGAAATCCTAATCACCTCTGCATGGTGCTCTCTCAGGCTGGCTGACTCCTGCACCACTCAGGTCCCGTGAGCTCCTTGCCAGGTGCTGGCTGATGTGTTAGCACTTACTTTCCAGCTATTGTGTTCGTATGGATAGCACTGACTACTTTCATTCATACGATTCTTACTGCTGTTAGATGGTTTCCTTGAGCTCAATTATTTCCTTGGAGTACAGTCTTACGTTTGTACCAAAACGAGTGCGGCTTCTGATGCCAAAGTAGCTGTAGGCACTTCAAGAAATGAAGCACTGAGATGCTGTCACTCGGGTACTTTTCTCAGTTTCTTTTTAAGTTGAGGTGCAACCTTATCTCTGTACTATGATATTTGTCACAAAAAGTGGTTATACAAAGCAACCAAATGTTTTGATGTTTCGTGCTCTATCGTGCAGAATACTCATGTGGACTCTCAGTCCAGTAGACGACTTGAATTTCTCTCTTTATCTTTTAATCAGGTGAAGACTGAAGTTGGGAAGGAGGTGGCAGCCGCCCGGCGGAAACAGCACCTGTCGTCCCTTCAGTACTACTGTGCGCTCAACGCACTGCAGTACCGGAAGCGGATGGCCATGATGGAGCCCATGATAGGCTTCGCCCACGGACAGGTAGGGGATCTCCTTCCCTAAGGGAGAAAACCTGAGGCAGCACTCAGGAGAAACTGAAGCATCATCATAGAAATAGATGTACAACCTCCCAGGAAACTTCTGGGGCTCAGCACTTAGGAGAGCTCCCAGCTAGGCTGGACCTGTGAGGCCATATGTTCAGGAAGTGACAGCCTGATCCTAGGCCTCTCAGGAAGAGCCAGCCTGCCTCTGTCACTCCATCCCAAAGAAAGCTAGGCTTGGTCCAGCTTTCCTAGCAGCGCTTTCTGCCCAGGCCAGATGGCTGGTTAGAACCTGGTGTGTACGCGTTCCTTTTCTAGCGTATACTGCGGGTCACACCCACTCAGGTCGGATGGCCGGGTTCAGGCCAGAGTGCACCTTCCTTTCCTGCTCTGCACTGTCAGGCTCACCCTGGCTGAGGTTACTCTCTGTGTCCTGCCTTAGGGGCATAGGGAAATGTTCCTGCCTGCACTTTCTGATGTCTGCAGAGGATTTATTTGGCTTTGTCTTTCCTATTTATTGACTTACTGAATATTTGTCCTAAGGGATACTCCAGTTTAAGGATGGGGACCTAGCTGCTGTGGCAGGGACCAACATGAGTATGTCAGACTGGTACCTTCGCCCTCCCCTTCTACCTACCCTGTTTTAGCCCTGGTGTGCACACTCCAAATCCTCATGTTGTACATGAGACATGTACCCAGAATCTTAGGCCCTCTGATAATCTGTGAACAGAAAACAAGTGAGGAAGCTGTGGGTGAGACTGGTCACCAACCTAGGAACACATGGGCATCTTTTACATGGTACGCATTTGGAAATTACATGTATTCAAAAGAAATACATCGTCAGATCCTAATCCTAGAGGGAAAGGGAAGAAGAGCATCTTTAAGCATCCGAGTGCAGCTGTCTTCCTAACATAGTTACTTGTTGAATGAGGACACTGAAGTCAGCTTATACCTACAGAGGTAATACTTAAATAGGGGAATAGACTATCCCTGTTATCTGAATAAACCTGGATAATCCAAAAATAAGCCCTGTGTCAGCCCCTTAGCAAAGTCACCCAGCTCTTCTAGGTGGGCCCTGTGCTGACTGTTTCCCTCCTTTCCCCTTCAGCTAAGGACTTGGTAGGTGACCTGGAGTAGTGAGAGCAATGTTTATCCTTCTCCCTAGTTCCTTCCTCTGGTGTGTGCTCTCCCTTGGCTGACAGCCCTTGCCTTTGGGGTGGTAATTCATGCTCACTAAATCCAAGGGCACGGAGAGGCAAGGTCTGGATTTAGTGTCTCAGATAAATGACTCCAGTCTAATAAGTCTGTGGAGTTTGGTCAGTTGGTAGACAGTCCTTGCCAGGCCCAAAGAATGGGTTTGATGCTAGCTGATTCCATGGTCTTTCAGTGCCAAGGACTGCACCACCTCTCCCAGTCTAGTTTTTAAAATGAGTTTAAATAGGCTATAGGAGAGGAGACTGGGTATTGTCACAAACACAACTCCTGGGCCTTGGAGGACAGAGCCATACCATCAGTTAATGGGTAGCAGGAGCATCAGGTTGGAGGATGGAACATTTGTTTTTCATCTGAAAAGTCTCCACATTTCAAGACATAAGACCAATAGTTCCATCTCTTACAGACTTTAAATCATCACAAAAACTAGTCCTTGGCTTAGCCACAGGAGTTGCCTGCTGATTCAGAAGCACGTGCTCTCTTGCCTCAGCCCTTGGGCAGTAGTGTTTATGGGACACGCCTTGATGGCTGACCTCAGCCCTGCTCTTTGCAGGCCCATTTGGTGGATCCTGCCTTGGGCTTCTCAGCACCATTCACTCTTGTGCAGGTGTGTTGACTCCACTAGCTTCTCTGGTCTTTAGTAGAGTGGTTTTCAGTTGATTTCAGGCCTCAAAACTGATGTTCTGTCATTTGGTTTTTAAAATTAATTAATTAATTTATTATTTATTTATTTATCTATCTATCATCTGTTTAGTTGGGGGAGAGGCACATGGAAGTTGGAGAACAGCCTGCAGGAGTCAGTTCTCTCCTTCCACCATATGGGTTCTGGGGCTCACACTCAAGGTTTGTCAGTCTTGGTGGCAAGTGCTTAACTGAGCTACCTCAACAGCCCTGTACAGGTTTTTGAGCACATAAAATGACTTCCCCTGTGGTACTGACAGGGTAAGTACTAGGTAATGGGGCTGTGGAAGTGGCATCTTGCCCTCTGTTAATCACTTGTGTTTGGGATTGGGTAGTCCCTGCTCTAGAGGGCTCAGAGTAACTGGAGCGAGCTGTAGCAGTGCGTCTGAAGCGGGTCAGCAAGGAGGGGAGAGGAGAAGCTCCAGATGTTGAGCCATTGGAAATTCAGAATGCTTACTTAATAGAGGAATGGGATTAACTGATGAGTATCATTTTGACATTTGATTGAAATGGCATTTACAGTGTAGATCTGTTTGAGTCAAAGGTCAGCGGACCAGAACACCCCAAGTGTGTAGGAGCGTGCATGGGGATAGAGCATGCATGAGGATAATTGTGGCTGGCAGCTGGCTTTTCCTTGTGATGACTGAGGACACTGGGGTACATGCTCTCCCAGGGTGTCTAGGACCAAGAGAAGGATGTCAGAACTCTGCTGATAACATTCACTGGTCTCCTCAGGGAGAGATGTTCATTTCTGTGTCCCACAGCCCAGGGCATGCGGGGCTTCCAGATCAGATGAGCCAAGTCACGCAGGAGAGAATGCCCATGCTAAATGCTTTCTCTCCTCATGACCTTCGTTCACAGCTGTTACTTATCCATTATCAGGTGTGTGAAGTGAAACATTTTGTTCTAATGTCCAGATTTCTGAAAACCTTCGCCATAGAGGCAGTTTGAGCTTTTCAGGGTGGGTGGCCACACTTGTTTCTGGAATGCCTAGAAGTCTTCTCTCATGCCTGGCCCTTCACATATGTCAGGCACCCGGACCTGGGAAGTGAGTCCTACACTAGACCCATAGGAAGCAAGAATTCCTTCCACTGGTATCAAAAGCCAGCAGCTGCTGTTTGGTTTCAAAGTGCCGCACTCAGGTCTCCCAGATGCCAGTTTCCCCTGGGTAGAGAAAGCATCCATCACAGAGCCTTGGGGAGCAGGGATACCTCACCTGAGTTGAGAAGCTACACAGCCACAGCCCTGATGTCTTATGTACATAATCCCTAATTTAATGTCATGCTTAGAAGAGGCATTAGCCCAGTTTCCCCTCTGCCATATTTCAGGTCATCTGGCCATCCGACCTTTGTCCACTGCATATGCTCCAGTGAGCGAGCTCAGGCAGATGGTGGCTCTCAGGATTGGGTGGACAGCTTATGCTGGTTGGCTGTTCTTGCTGGTCTTGACCATCTGCCATGTGTCTCACATCCACTTAGTGCTAGATATAGAAATATGAATGACACCTCAAGAAACAGTTTAGAACACATAGAAGAAAAAGCTATCAACAGTTATCAGTTGTAATTATTGAAATGCCTGCTGTGTACCAAGGGTTTATTACCTTCCTTTATTCCTGACATTTCCAGTCTTTCAGCAATGTCATCAGGCTCCTCTTTCCCCATTTACAAGCACACTCAAGGCTTGGGCACTCTTAACCAGTGCGGTGGAGCTGACGTCGAGATGCTCCCAGACCACTAGCAAGGAGGAATCAGCAGCCATATCAGTGCCCCCACAGAGTCTCCTGATTAGGGACTTGGTCAGTTAACTCCCTAGATGACAATTTAGAATGCTGTCATTCTGTCTTTCAGATTAACTTTTTCAAGAGAGGAGCAGAGGTGTTCTCCAAGAACATGGGTGGCTTCCTGTCCTCCGTTGCAGACATGGTTCAGAGGTAACACTGCTCTCTGGCTGGGTTCTGTGGTCTTTCACCGAATTCAGCCTCTGTGGGATGGGGGAAGAGGGAGATTCTGCCTTCAGAGGGTCTACAGAGCCCCGGTGCCCTGCGACCTGGAGACAGTGTCCTCACTTAACAGGCCGTGCTTGTGAACTTCGTGGCTTCTGTAGTTCTAGCAGGAAAGAACCTGGGCTCCAGGGCCTATGTGAAAACTCGGGGCACTTCCTGTGCCGTCCAGGTGCCTGTTGTCAGGATCATCTCTGTTTAGGTGGCATGTGTGATGAGCCTGAGAGTTCAGTAGAGATTACTTTTCCCCTCTGAGCAAAATTGTTGCAACCTTTCAGGAAATTCTGGCTGCCACAATAGTTACAATAGACAGGCTTCAGTTCAGCCATCAAGTGCCTGCCCGTACTTGGCAGATGGCATGGCTGCCCTGGCTCCCTCCTCTTCTCTCAGTCTCCATGACAGGCTCTCTGATGTGGCCCGTGGACCACTGTGTGCAGGCTGGTTTCACCCTGAGCACGGATGTATGGTTCCTTGACATGACTTCTGAAGTATAGTGGGTGTGTGTCTATGTCTGTGTCTGTGTGTTTATGTGTGTGTGTTTGTGTATGTCTGTCTTTCTATGTGCATATAGTTGAAAAGATACAAAGTGGTGGAAGGAGAAGCAGGGAAATCAGGAGTTCAAGGCTAGTCTCAGCTACATAGTGGTTCGAGGCCAGACCCTGTCTCAGAAGCACTCTTCTCCCCCTGAAAAGGGAAGGATTACAAAATGGAAATGTGAATGTGGAATTTTACTGCATGTGGAAAGTGAAGGTCGTTTAATTTTTTGGATGTGTTACATTTCAGAATCACTTAAGAGGGCCATGCAATGGGATTGATTTAGGCAGAAATCATCTAAAAAGCTCTATGAATAGAGTGAACTCAGAAGAACCAGAGCCAAGCACTGGGCCTCATGGGAAGGGCTGAGAGCACGTGCTCCTTCCCAGAAGTCATTGCGTTAGGCTTCCCAGGCAGCCGGCAGCAGTGAGACACACAGGTTAAATCCACAGGGGCCAGAAACCAGTGTGAAAGGTCCCATTTCACTTTCTTTCTTCGTTTCTTGATTCTTAGTCCCTGGGAACGTTAGGGAAAATAAAGAAGAGCCTATTAGGTTGTCAGTGTGTAAGTACCCGTTCTCCCATCTGTCAGTCTGCTTTTCATCCCACTGTAGTTCTCAGGTCTGTTTGGGGGAGCCATTTTGCTTAACTATTTCATGTCCTAGATGGAGTTACTAATGGATGGCAGGATGATTGTGTGGGTGCATAGGAGGTGCCCTGGTGCACTCTTTCTGTAGACCCAAGACTCTTCGTCCTTGTCAACATTTCTGTGAGCTGTTTAAATGAGTGACACCAGTGTCGGCTTTCGACCCACATCTCTCACCACTGGGTGGGAGTCTGGTGGGGAAAAAGAGCAGCAGCTGTTTCAGGCAGAGGCTTCTAGTTTTCTGCACCTCAGTACACATGCACACAGACGCCAGGGCTATCTCCTACCAGAACCCAGACATGGGCTCACTTAGCCTTCATGGGTCTCAGGTACTTTGTGACTGTCAGGGTGACCCTCAGCTGTGGCTTTGTTATTGCAGGTCTGTAGTAGCTGTCTCACACCCAGATCAGGACAGAATTTTTCCATCCCTTCCCTTATGAGACTTCTATAGGTTGTCTGTATATGTGGACCTTGAGGAGGGGCACACAGTGCTGCTCCTGAAATCTGCACCAGCAGATCCGATCGTGGTACTTGGGTTCAGCAGAGTTCAGTGTTTCCTCCCCACACACTCTCGATGTTCTAGAATGGTAGAGACTTACATCACTCTAGTAATGCAGAACTGAAGCTCTGCTCTCCAGGTTTCAGGGCCTAAGTAAGAGGGTGGAGAGCTGTGGCTCCATGGGAGGCTAGTGGCTCCATCCCTAAAGCCAGAAGCTTCAATGGGTGAAGCCGGCCTGTCTCCTGCTTCTTAGGAGTGATGAGTTGACCTGTGGAGAGTAACTGACCTAATACTTTCTGTCTTAAGCATTCAGGTGGAACTGGAAGCTGAGGCAGACCGGATGCGGGTGTCCCAGCAAGAGTTGCTTTCTGTTGATGAATCCGTTTATACTCCAGATGTTGATGTGGCCACACCACAGATCAATAGGAACCTCATTCAGAAAGCTGGTTACCTCAACCTCAGAAAGTAAGAATGTCATGCCACCTCTCTTTTCCCAGGAAGTGGCCTTAAAAGGCAGTCTTTTAGATGACCACTAAGGCCTGGGGGTGGGGGTAGGCCACATGGGGGTGGTGCTCCCACACAGTGCCCTTCTGCTTGGAGTTTGGGAAGTCTCTGGAGCCCAAGTTCCAAGCTGCACTGAGATGTGCATCTGGAAACAGCTGTAAGAGCCCAGTGCCATGCCAGAGTCCCACACTGAGGTAAGTGAGGCCACTCAGATTCCTCCAGATGGAATGGAGTGCCATGCTCATGTCTTTTAAGCATCTATCTGGGATGAAGGCAATGATCAGGTTTCACTGCTTCTAAGAACCTGAGAGGGTGCAGCTCTCAGGTGTGGAGAGCGCTGGTGTTGGGACCTGATACCTGGCTGGGTATAGATGATCTGTCTCAACGGCCCTGACACCATCTGCTTCCTTGCCATGGAATGGAGGTGGTATTAGACCCTCCAGTGTTAGTACCCGTTATTCTTTAGAAATTACTGAAGTAGGACACCCAGTGCCTTGCACGTGGTATTTAGTAACTACTAAGTCAAGTGTCTGTATTTGATAGCCCCAAAGGAAGGCTATCTGAGGAGGAATTGCCAACCCTCTTCTGCAGGCAGAGCTTTGCGAAAGCCTGCCATCTTGAGGTCATAGACTAAATATCCCCCTTCGTTCTGCAGGAGTAAAAAACTCCACAACATTTTGGTGTTATTTGCCAGGTACTGCATTTTCCTTTGGTAAGCAGCCCACCAAATAGGGTAACCTCCAGTTGAAGCAAAACCCAGACTGGCAAGAGCTGCCAGGATTGAGAGTGGGCAACGTGACCCCAGTGGCTAGTAGATTCAAAGCTGCTCAGTTCCACTTCTTAGGATCATGATCTGAGGGGTTTTCAGTTCCTACTCAGGAAGAACAGATTCTAGTCACAGGTGGTGGCCACCTGGGCTTCGGTATAGCTGGAGTTGGGGCTCACTGGCATTTCTCATGGCAGCAGAGCTGAGGCTCCCAGATGGTTTGAGCTAAACTGTGTTTCTGCCACTCTTCACAGGAGTGAGTTTTCAGAGGTTTGCTTTAGTACAAAGACATTACTAAAATGCTGCCAGTACCTAAAAACAGGCAACACAGAGTGAAGGGGGTCTTGTCTTTTTCCTGGTACTGATGGCTGTTCCCACATAATCCCCACAGCAAAACAGGACTGGTCACCACCACCTGGGAGAGGCTTTACTTCTTCACCCAAGGCGGGAACCTCATGTGTCAGCCCAGGGGAGCTGTGGCTGGAGGCTTGATTCAAGACCTGGACAACTGCTCAGTGATGGCGGTGGATTGTGAAGACCGACGATACTGCTTCCAGATCACCACGCCTAATGGAAAATCGTATGCCTCATGAGTCTTATTTGGGAGGAGAACAAGTGTGGTGACTGTCCTTGCCAAGGGCTGCTCACTCATGGCCATGTACCAATCCTCCATGGGAGAGGCCCCATCCCAGGTCCTGTTCTTTCAAGAGAATTGTTTTACGTTCTCTCTGAACAAGCGCAAGTGGCCCTTATGGGATCTAGCCTGCCTTATTCAGGAAGCCCCAGTGATCTCCATCTGAACCCTGGGGAACAGAGATGACCTATAAAATGTAGCTAGAAGATGCTTGTCAGTTTAGAGCTGAGAGAAGGCTGTGGCTGCTCCTTTGTTCTAAAGGGGCGGCGCTGAGGAGAGCAGGTAGGCAGCTGTCCAAGGAGTCCACTTTGCATCTGAAACAGGGGTTGTGAACAGTACATTCTACTACAGAAGTATCCTTTTTTAGCCATGCTGACTCCACATACCTCAGGACCTTAGGGGTCACACCCTGACCATGGTAGCCTGTAGTCATTCCCAGGAGGTTCCCACCAGTGGTTCCCCTCTCACTTAGAACAGTGGTTTCCAATCTGTGTTCCAAAGAATTCCCCATTTGCTTGCTGTGGGGGCAGGGGTGGAGAATGTTCTGGGGTCCATGGATCTTTTCTTCCCCTGGATGAGTGGAGGAGTTTTAGACAGCATCCTTCCTCTGGTGGTGGGCAGAGACTGAGGACTAAGATGCTAGCATTCTAGCCATGGTCCCATGCAGTTCATTTCCTTGGGCCTGGATCTCCTCAGATAGGAAATAGAGGGCATCTGTGTTCCCTCTGCCACAGACATGAGGAACAGAGAACTAGCAGAGGTCGAGTCCCGTAAAGAGGCCATTTTAAAGGAGGGACAGTGTTGCTATCTAATGCCCTGCCCTCGATGTGCAGACTTTTTAGTGCTTAGATATGGGCTAAGACCTTCCTTGGACAAGGTCGGAGGAGTGGCAGTTCTGGTTCCTTGGTCATCTTAGCGGGTCACAGGCTCAGGCTAGAAGACCTGAATCTAACCTCACAGAAAGCTGAGGCCGGGAAGCCAAATGTTTGTCTAAGGCCACGTGCATTAGGGACAGAACCAGGCCAGCACCTCCATTTCCTTCCCCTCTGAGCCTGCTGCCTTCCCGGTGCTGAGCTGTTGATGAAGGACATTCCTGGGTCTCAGGGATTGAGCACTAACTTTGATGCATTTTGTTTATTTCAGGGGAATAATCCTCCAGGCGGAGAGCAGAAAGGAAAATGAAGAGGTAAAGCTTTGTCTGTCTCATCTCTGTCCTCATGTGGTGGGTGACCCGGATTCAGTATTCTTTCTAATGTCCTTTACAGTGGATATGTGCAATAAACAACATCTCCAGGCAGATCTACCTGACCGACAACCCAGAGGTAATTAGCGCTGCCTGCACTCCACCTGCTTGGTAGGCGTCCCCTCCTGGACTGAGCGTGTCTCCTATGGCTTACATGTAGGCATTCGCCATGAGGTTGAATCAGACGGCTCTTCAGGCAGTCACTCCCATTGCATGTTTTGGGAAGAAACAAGAAAGCACCTGTTCCAGGTAACTAAAGAACAAAGGAAAACTAGCTTTCGTGGAGGCAGACTGTGTGTTTGAAATCTGAGATGAGTTGTTACTTAGTCTTTACACCCTTCCACCCCCTGGATGCCATTGAGCCCTGTATAACAAAAGCAGTAACTGTGGTGGTGGTAGTGGGTGTTGAGTACTAACTTGCCCACATTCTCAGCAGAGATGAGGGGTGGAGCCAGGATTCAAACCTGATTGCAACATCCCTATCCATGTCCCCTGGGCTAGGCTGCTGTGGTGTGAGACAGGGATACATCATAGGCCCTCCCACACCTTTTACTAGAATCGCAGTGTGGTAGCCTTAATCACCTGTGTCATGGCCTTTGCTGCACAATGATGTTTTCATGTGTGCATATGTTTAATGCTCATATAAACATTTCATAATACTACATCATCTTTATAATTCTTTTAATAAGTACTTTATTCTGTCCATGATTTATTAGCATTGAGTACTGAGGTTGGCTTCCCTTTTGTTTGCTGTGTTTGTTTTGTTGGTGGGGGAGAGGGAGGTTTGAGACAGTCTTACTATATAGCCCAGGCTGGCCTCCAAGTCCCAGTGGTCCTCCTTGCCTTGGCCTCCCAAATGCTGGAATAACAGGGATGCTCAGTCACTCTTGGCTTTGCTGTCACCATTAATAATGAGCATTTTCATGTATACAGCTTTTCTTTTGAAGTTGGGCGTGGTGGCGCTCACCTTTAATCCCAGCATTTGGGAGGCAGAGGCAGGCAGATCTCTGTGAGTTCGAGGCCAGCCTGGTCTACATAGTGAGTGCCAGGCCAACTGCAGCTACAGGGAGACCCTGTTTTAAAAAGACTAAAAAAAAAAATAAAACAGCTTTTCTTTTGAATATTTATTGCTTAAGGATTTGAGGACTCTCACAATGTAGCCCTAGCTGGCCTGGAACTCAGCGTGTAGACCAGGCTGGCCTCAAATTCACAAAGAGCCACCTGTCTCTGCCTCCTGAGTGCTGTGATTAAAGGTATATACCACCATACCTAGACTCCCACAAGAGTCTTCATGGGAGTTTCCATATGGTTAAGTGGGTTAGTGTGCTGTGTTATTTTTCGTGTTCATAGCACCAAAGGGCATATTAAAATTATGACTCTACTTGTATCTATCCTTTTTTGGGGGGTGGTGGTTGAGACAGGGTCTCCTTGTTGCCCCAGCTGGCCTGGAACTCACTTTGTAGACGAGGCTGGCCTTGAACTCACAGAGATCCACCTGTTTTCTGCCTCCTGAGTGCCGAGACTAAAGGTATGTGCCACCACACAGGGCTTATTTGTTAATGGTGTAGTAGAAAGAACTCCATGAGAAGGTCTACAAATAGCTTCTAATGGCCCAGAAAGGAAGTCCTTAGGAACCTGGTCATGTGGCTTTCTGGGATTCATGTACTTGGCTTTGGCTACTTGAGAAAGGCCAGCAGACAGATTGAGTCACTGTAGAAGCCTTTGGTGCCCTGCTTCCGGAGGTACAGCAGTGTGACGAGGCTCAGTGACTGACAGGCACAACAACCAGAGCCAGGTTTAGAAAACCTGCTCTGCACCATTCCATGGGGGAAGGAAGAGCATTAAAGGCCTGACAGGATGTCGCTGTAGCACGCACGCACGTGTAAAATAGGCCATGAGAACCTGAGCTGTGAAAATGGGGGGAAGTGGGAGAATGTAAAGAGCTAAGGAAAACCTTGAGAAGCAGTTCAGGAGCCAACTGCTTGCAAAAGTACTGTGGTTATTAAGTGCAACTCTAAGGAAAGCTCCAGGACATGAAGATCCAGTGCAGGGTAGTGTGTCAGCCTTCCTTCTCTGTTCATAAAGCTACAGAAATGGTGGGCGCAGTGGGGTAACCATAAACTGAGTTTGAGACGTGAGTCCTAGCAGCTCTGCCTTCACACCCTTCGCTGCCAGTCTGCTCGCTCTCTGGACCTTGTGACATAAAGAGAAGCAGCCATGACCTCTGGAGCCTCTAATGCATAGATAAGTGTAACTAGAAGGTATGATTAGCTGTTAGAGGGATATAACTTGTTACTGGTTAGCTCCGTTACTCAATAACTGACTGTTCTTGTTTGTTTCTCCATTGCTATGACAAAACACAGTGACCAATACCGACTTGGGGAGAAAAGGGTTTACTTGGTTCACATCTCCTGGGTTCATCAGGGAGCCCAAGATAGGGACTCAGGGCAGATACTTGGAAGCAAGAGCTAGAGCACAGGCCATGGAGGAATGTTGCTTACTGGCTTGCTCCTCTGGCTCCTATTCAACCTGCTTTCTTATACAACCCAGGACCACTTGCCCAAGAGAGGCACCACCCACAGTGGGCTGGGCCCTCCCACATCACTCAAAAATCAAGAAAATACCCCCACAGACATGGCCACAGATCAGTACAGTGGAGGCAATTCCATGATTGAGGCTCCCTCCACCCAGGTGTGTCAAGTTGACAACTAGAGCTATCCAGCGCACTGACTCCGCTGTTCTAGAATAAATGAATCATTCTTAGACTCTGCAGCCGGGACACAGAAAGTATCTGGGGAATAGAAACAACAAAACCAGCCAACTGAATTAACCCAAAGCTTGGAAGGGTGATAGGGGTGGCTTCCAGATGGCCCCAGAGCTGTGGGAGGAGGGAGCCCATCTTTCATAGGGTCAGCTCATGAAGAAGAAACAAATGTTTTAATGACTGTAGGGAAAAGCAGTACAGAAATGATATTCTTGGGAACAAACTATTTACTTCTAACAAATGTGTGGTCGTCCCTCAGTGTGCAGTTAGAACCTACCTACTGTTCATTTAGCTAGCTAGCCAACAAATATTTGTTGAATACCCACCATGTGCCCAGGTCTGGGCTAGGTAACAAAGCTTAAAAACTATAGGAAAAGAAAGGAAGCAAACAAGTGCTAGTGCAGATGGGAAAATCATGGAAGCCAGTGACGAGGGCGCAGTCAGAGAATACAGAGATCTGTGTAGGGCTGCACTGTGGGGACACACTGAGAGCTACAGACTAGAGCAGCGAGAGGCAGCAAGGGTATTCTGATAGTTACATCAGCAGTAGCAAGTGGAAAACACCAGTGTGAACACTGGTGTGCAGAGGGGTGTCATGGAACAAGACAGCCTTGGCCAGGAGCCTTGGAGGCTCTTAGGGTATGTGGGAAGAGAATCACTTCATATTTTCTAGTTAGCTCCAGCTGCTGTGGGAAGCAGAAATATTGGGTGGGTCTTATGCAGCAGGGAGGCAAAGCAGCCATCTAGGGGAAAGGGGTGGCTTAGACCAAGATCATGGCTGAGATGGATGAACTGGGATTGGTTTTGGAGGCGAATCCTGTTGGCGGTGTGGTACACAGACATGGAATGGAAGAAGGCTGGGTCCAAAAGTAACTTCAATCTAGGTTCAGCCCCTGGACAGTGGAAGTAAAGGGATGATGATTTTAGCTTGAGACCATTGAGAGGTCTATGAGTCATCCCAGTGAGTTGAAGCCATCAGCTGACAAGTTTTCTCAAGTGCTGAGGAAGCATTTGGCCAGGTGGATGAGCCAGGAGTTTGTTAGCACCGAGCAGGGTAGATGTTGTAGGGAGGGAGGAGACCCATCAGTCCTGGGGAGCTCCAGCAGCTGGAGTAGAGGAAGAGCATCAGGAGGGGCAGGAGCAGCCTCTGCACAGCACAGCAGAAATGAGCTTTGAGGAGAGGTCCTCAGGAAGATGCTTGCAAAGTATCCCTTAAGCTGGGAACATGGAAGACACAGGTGATGCTTCACACCCTGCCACTGTTCAGTCCTCAGTGTCTTTCTGTGTCCGCTGAGACCGCACCTCATTTTTCAATAACCTGGCCCCTGTATGATCTTCTTGGGTTAACTCCCTTTTGACGCTCTGGGGAGCCATTCTCTCTCCCTTTTCATCTTCACACCTGTTTCTGATGCTTACCACTTACTTAGCCTTGGCTGTACTATGATAGAATCAGCCATTAGGGTTACTGAGGCAGTGAAGAGGACTCCGAAATCTTTTGATTTCTGTGTATGTGAGGGTTTTACTTGCATATTGTGTAAGTGCACCATGTGTGTGCAGAGGTCAAAAGAGGGCATCAGGGGCTGGAGAGATGGCTCAGTGGTTAAGAAAACTGGTTGTTCTTGCAGAAGACCTGGGTTCGAATCCCAACACCCACATGGCAGCTAAGAACTGTCCGTAACTCCAGTCCCAGGGGATCCGACAGCCTTTTCTGACCTCCGCAGGCATTGCACGACACGAGTGCGTTTACCTATATGCAGGCAATACACGCATACACATAAAATGAAAATAATAAAATTTTAAAAAGGGGGGGCATATCTCCTGGAGCTGAAGTTACAGTTGTGATTCACCATGTGCGTGCTGGGAATGGAACCCAGGTCTTTTGCAAGAGCAGCCAGTGAGTGCTCTTCACCGCTGAGCTGTCTCTCCAGCCCCAAGGCCTCTGTTCTCCTGAAGGTTCTCTAACGGTCTGTTTCTGTTCCCATTGACAGCGTTCTGGTCTCCAAGGGTTCTCCTTTCAGTGACTGTCTCCAAGCCTGTGCGTGTTTCTATGCACATTCCATGGGATGGGTTCATATGTCAGATAGCCATTGTAGCTTCATACAACATTGTTATTGACATGTTGGAGAAACCAGAAAATGTTGATGTAAAAATAGCCAATGAAAAGACTGGGCTTTTCTAGGTCTAGACAATGTAAAGAAATGGAATGCTGTGATGGACACTGTCTGCAGCAGCATACAGGCAGCACATAGCTCAGGAGGTATACAGGGAACCAGACTGACCTCCAAGGCCACAGTGGGGAAGGAGGAATTGAGGTGGTGGTGTGGGGTGGGGGACAGGTGGGTGTGCAGACAGACACAAAGAACTCACATGCTCTGTTTGGTGTGCCTCTCTAGTGGCGGGTGCATTAACGGAGAAGAAAAGGAGTTCTTCAAGAAGTGATAGCCAGGTTGCAATGAAATGCCAGTTTGAGATGTTTTGTTCTTTTAGCTAACATTTTTTGCATGCCTACTATGTGTCAAGAAATAAATATCACCTACCTACAGCCCCACCCCCAAAAACCTGACTCTCAGGAGAGACACAAACAGATTAGTGTATGAGGTAACAGCACACACACAGCTCAGAATATTGAACAACAGAGGGTGTGGGGAGACTTGACAGGTTTTAAGCCAAGGATATGAAGTTTGAAGAAGACATTCGTAGACCGGATTGAGACTGGTCTCCCTTGTATTTTCATGTAAAAGTCACATCAGCATTGAACAAATGGCTGTATGTGCTTAATTTTTTCTCTTCTGTATTCCAGTCAGAACCTGAAACATTCAGAGACAGAAAATTACAAGATTGTTCCCACGGTGGCAGCCAACATTCCTGAAGCAGACCAGCTGATCGCTCCTGGGACACCTATTCAGTTTGACATTGTGCTTCCTGCTACTGAGTTCCTTGACCAGAACAGAGGCAGCAGGTAGGACTGAGGGGTGGCCTCTGGGAAAAGGAACCAGTTTGTGTCCTGTGCCTTCACCTACCACCCAGACCGCTGCTGTGATGACTTAGGATTCAAGTGCTAAGTGTCCTGTTAGCTGCAGCTGTCAGAACTGCTGACCTCTGGCTGTTCCCCCAGGCGCACCAACCCTTTTGGTGAGACTGAGGATGAGTCATTTCCCGAAGCAGAAGGTAAGTGGCTAGTTTAGTGTGCTTATCCCTACCCCTACCCCCACACAAAATGAAGAGGGCTCCTATGTGAAATCATGTTCTAGAGCTAAAATTTGGAATAGGAGTTCAGACTTGACCATTCAGGATATTCAGTGCCCTCTTCTGGCCTCCGCAGGCACAGCACATGTGATGCATGCGCACACGCACACACATGCAGACAAAACATTTGTTTGCATAAAAAAGAAATCTTTTAAAAAAGAATTTGCTTAAATCTTTTAACAATAATCTGCTTTAAAATTGGCTCTCAGAATTTACTTGTATCTAGCTGACTCTTCACACAATCCACACAAAATGTTTCAAACTCAGCTGGGTGTGACGGGACATGCCTATAGTCCCAGCACCAGAAAGGCTGAGGCAGGAGGATCATGAGTTCAAGACCAACCTGGGCTATATATTAAGACCCTATCTCCACCCAACGTGTGTGTTTACTGCATACCCCCCAAAAGTTACTATTTGTAACATATCACTTATACTTATTTTTAACGCTTGTTATTTTTAGAGCCAAGGGAGGAAAAGAAGCTTATTGTTTTAAAATGATGGGTCGACAAATTGGCCTTTTACCCAGGACATGGTACTGCATGTCTTTAATCCCAGCACTTGGAAGGTAGAGGCAGGAGGATCTTAGTGAGATTGAGGCCAGCTTGGTCTACATTTTGAGTTCCAAGCTAGCTGGAGCTAAATGGAGACCCTGTCTCAAAACAAAACAAAACAAAACAAAACAAAACAAAACAAAACAAAAAAACCCAAATTGCCCTTTTTACCATCTTCAGTTACGATGGCTGTTAGTGTTGTCAGACTGAAGACTCTGTGCCAGTGTCATGAAGCCAGCTTTGAAGCCGGGCCCATAGCACAGGCTTGTAATTCCAGCTACCTGGACAGGGGAGAAGGGAGGAGGCAGGAGGATCTGAGTTTTTACCGGGCAGAGTGAGTTCAAGGCCAGCCTGGGCAACTTAGTAAAAAAAAAAAACCTGTCAAAAATAAAAAGTAAAACAATGAGAGCTGGGAATGTGGCCCAGGGGTAGCGCACTTGCTCTAGGTTCAATCCCAACACTTGAGGGAGGGGAGGAGAGCCAGCATGGACAGTTCTTTAAGGGGCAGATTGTTTCAGTTTAGCTCTGTAATAAAGGTGATGTATGAAATTGAGACCAAGTGTCTGGCCTTACTTCCCACAGATTTCTTTCAGAGGCCCAGTGGGTTCTCTGAGCCTAGTGGAAATGCTTGTTGGCATACAGAGGGCTGTTCACTTGGTGTCACCATTCCCACTTTATACCTGGGAAAAAGAGATGAGTCTTCCTGATCTGTTGAGTTCCAAAGCAACTGACAAATGCAGACAGTAAAAGACTCTGAGCTTCACAACACTGGGCTTCTAAGAGCCATGCTGAGAGATCTGAGTGGACGGTTCCCTCGTCCGCAGGCTCCTGGTGTGGGCGGCATCAGCGAGCTAATGTGATCCTGAGCAAGGCATGCTCTCTTGCAGATTCCCTTCTGCAGCAGATGTTCATAGTTCGGTTTCTGGGGTCAATGGCAGTTAGAACAGACAGCACTACTGAAGTGATTTATGAAGCAATGAGACAAGTACTGGCAGCTCGGGCTATTCATAACATCTTCCGAATGACGGAATCCCATCTGATGGTCACCAGCCAAACACTGAGGTACGGTCAGCTCCCTTCAGACTCCCTTACACTTCACCTGATTCCCTTTTAAGGGATATTTACCTATCCAAAATGGTAGTGCTGAGTACTTTAATGATGAAATGTTTTTATCATACCCTGCATTCTGATATACACGATAAAAGATGCACTTTTAATGACCAGAATTGGTTGAGTGTGGTAGTGTGTGCCTGTGATCCCAGCACTTGGGAGACTGAGGAAGTTTTGGGCCAATGGGAACCCTGCCTAAACACCAAAAAAGATAAGAACCGATTATGTTAAGATTTCAGCTATTAGTGGCTATATGTAGGCTGAGTATCTCTTACCTGAAATGCTTGGGACCAAAATTGTTTCTGACTTTGGGTTTTTTTTTTTTTTTTTCTTCAGACTTTTGCAAATATGTAATGAGATTTTTGAGGGGTGGGGCCCAAGTTTACACACAACATTTGTTTCATTTACACCTTATATGCATAGCCTACAGGTAATGTTACATAGTATTTTTATAACCGTGTAGGAAACAGTTTCATGATGTAGGTTTTTTCATTTGGCATCCTATCTAAACATTTGGGACTGAATTTCCAGATCAGAGATGCTCAGCCTGGACTGTGTTCCTAATGAGGCCGTTGTTACACAGTCCAGACTTCTCTGTCATCTCGGAGCTTGGAAATGAAAGGCTTTCTTGAAAGTACTGTTTATAAAAATTAGTATCAATCCGGGCGTGGTAGCACACACCTTTAATCCCAGCACTCGGAGGCAGAGGCAGGCGGATCTCTGTGCGTCCCAGGCCAGCTGGGGCTACAGGGAGACCGGCAAAGATAAGCAGGCATCACTTCTTCGGCAGAGTGGAACACCGAAGAGGCCGTGCAGCGTGTGCGCATGCTGAGCAAATGCCTGTGACGTCACAGCTCTAAGCACAGGCTTTGCTACAAGTTTGATTACTCAGCACATGGACCATGCAGTCAGTCACAACAGTTGGATTCAGATGTGTGAAACGGCTAATCACTTTTTAAGGTTCATTACGTCTAACTAGTGATATATATCGGACTAAGGAAACTTCACCAGTTTCTTTTCACTTTTTGTGCGTCTGCTTCGTTTTTGAGGGCAGCGTTGCTTTAGAGCTAATACATCTAAGCCGATTCCTGATGTTGGCATCTCTTTAGATACAGTGGCCCTAGCAAATTGACCACCCTCTTCCTTCAGTTGTAAAATGGCACATGGAAACTACTTAATACACTAGGACTTTGGCTAAAATGGAACCATCGGCCTCTGTGGGGGCATGCATGCCACGTGTGTGTGGAGGTTAGAGGACAACTTTGTAGAGTCACTTCTTGCCTCCACCTTTAGAGGCAAGGTTTGGAGGCTCAGCCTGCAGTCACCCCGCAGCAGGTGCTGTACTCGCTGCGCCATCTCCCCAGCCCCCAAATTTATCTTTTTTAAGATAGTAAATTCTCAGGGCTAGAAAGATGGCTCAGTGGTTGAGAGTACTGACTGGGTTCGATTCCCAGCACCCACATGGCAGCTAACAACCATCCATAACTCCTTAACTCCAGTTCCAGGGGATCCAACGCCCTCTTTCTGACCTTCACAGGCATTGCACAACATGGGTGCACTTACATACATACAGGCAACACACTCATACACATAAAATAAAAATAAAAAATATTTTTAAAAAAGTAAATTCTCTAATGTAGTTCCACCAACATTATCAGATAAGCTTAAAATGTTTTTTTAAGGATGCATTCAAGAATATATTCTCTATTTTTGGTGTGTGGCACACATGGAGCCAAGGAAGATGCCGGGTATCTCCCTCTACCGCTCACCACCCTACTCCTGTAGGTCTCTCCTCACTGCCTGTCTGCACCCACTCCCCACAAGGGTGGGGCTATAGGTACATGCAACCATGCCTGGCTTTTTACATGGGTGCTGAGGATTCTAACTTATGCCTTGATGCTTCTACAGCAAATGGCTTTAAGCCACTGAGCCCCCTCCCTAGCCCCCCAGACTGCCTTCTTTAAAGGCTATTTACATGGAGTTTTGCCAAAACCCCTTCAGTTTTTACCCCCATACCTGTTTTATGTTAACTTTAGAATAAGTTGACCTAGCCCTTCAGGGAAAAAGTCAGTACCTAATGAATGTTTGTAGGGAAGATAGCCACGTAGGCTGTGATCCATATCACGTGAGAACTACAGAAAATCAGAAAGCTGGTTTGGGGTAAGTTCCAAAGTTCTGTGAGATTGCTGTTTGCATTTGCTATCTAACCACCTGTTCCAGATACCTTGAGCTTTAATGCAGCAGTTCAGCAGAGGCAGAAACCATGGCAGAAGATCACACGGGACTGTCTCACCTTGCCCTCAACCAGGCCTTGTTTTACTATATATGGGGCATTTTGTGATCTTTTTATGAACATCTAGTGTATCCAACATTTGTGACAGAATGAATCTCTTAAAATTTCAGGTTGATAGATCCTCAGACTCAAGTCTCAAGGGCCAATGTAAGTGCCTTCCACATCTACCTTAATGTTTATTACTTCCATACTTCACCCGTGTCCCCTAGAAACCCAACTTTGCACACAGTAATTTGCCAAGTTGTGTGATGTGTCTAATAGAACAGCCTTCTTCAGTGTTTTCATAAAGAATGGTCTTGTTTTGGAATTCCAGTTGTGTGATTATTCAGTGTGTTCCCATTTCTCACCCCCACTTCTACCCCCCAAAGTTTGAACTTACCAGTGTCACACAGTTTGCTGCTCATCAAGAAAACAAAAGACTGTTTGGCTTTGTCGTCCGCGTCCCGGAGTCCACAGGAGAAGCGTCTCTGAGCACATACATTTTTGAAAGCAACTCAGAAGGCGAAAAGGTCTTGTTCTCTCTTAAGATTTCTCCATATCTCACTCTAAACAAGCTTAAGCTTACCCCCCTTTTTATGAAGCAGGGTCTCCCCATAGCACCAGCTGGCCTGAAACTTGCTATTAGACCAGGCTGCTCTCAATCTCATAGAGATCTGCCCGCCTCCTGAGAGCTGGGATTAAAGGTGTGCCCCGCTATGCCCAGCAACAAGGCCGTTTTTATTGGTTTTGTGTCCACTTCCTTCTGAATATTGAATTGGTTAATTCTGCATGCTTGCATCCAGGAGTTCAGACAGTAATTCCTCCTAGGAAGGCCGCCCTGAAAGATCATTACAACCTTCATAGCAGATGTAGTTGTTCGGTATTATGAAATGCTAAAAGCAACCTCTAATTTTGTTCTTTAAAAAAAAAAATAAAGCAAAACTAATTTTTTTTTAAAGAACAAATTACTGTCCTGTGTAGAAACTACTTAGAAACTAAAGTTGATCCTTTCATTAAGCATTTGTTTACTACCCTGTGTATGAACATGCAGGAAAAATATCCTGCTAAGAAGTCTAAACAGTGGAATAACACATTTCACTTCCCTGGGATGTTTTTGTAGGGCATAACCTGGGAATAGGTCACAAGCGCTGGCACAACAGCCTTGGAGCAGGTCTCCTGCAGCAGATCCTGCCCTCCCCACGGGGTGTGAACAGACCGCAGCCTCACTGTACTCCCCATATCACTTTATTTCCAAAAATTTTCAACTTTTTTCTACCTTTGCTAAACATTACTTTTCTTCTTCTACAGATATGTTACGCTATTAATTTGGGGAAAGAAATTATTGAGGTTCAAAAGGTAAGGTGCATTTTATTATTGATTTAGTAACTACCCAAAGGATATCTGTATACATACTAAGATTCGGATGCTCACAAGACAGTGCTCGAGTTTGGGGTTTCCTTTAAGCATTCTAACCACCAGATAAATGATCAGATGACTCTGTCTGGTAACACTCTTCCTCTCCACTAATGAAAGCACTGCTGCAGCGTCTGCTTTACTAGTTTTCTTGCTTGCATCCTAGTTGGCTAGTCTTCCCTGTGAGATTAAGATACAAACTTAAGTACCCATCACCTGACTACCTAGCTCCTTCAGAGGATGGTTACTGGCCTAGCAGCACTGATAGCAACCACCTAGGAACTCAGTAGACATGAACAGGGACCTCACCCTCCATGTCATTCAGCAGCTTACACTCTTTGATTCATCAAAAATCCCTTTTGAAACCCTATTTTGTATAAGAAAAACCCTGGAATGACGACAATGAATAAGATACTGTGGTCCCATTCCCAAGAGCTAATAACCCATCCGTGTCTACTAGAACTTCGTGCAGTCACGGAAGTGATCTAAACCTGCATCTTTTAGAGTGCAGATTGAATGTGGCACGTGACTGCAGAACTGAGTTTGAGGCTTTAGTCAGTCTGCCCAGGAGGGCATGAACAGCAGAGTACATGCAGTTATGGAAGTCCTGCAAATCAGAGCTCAGTGGTGTAGGCAGAAGTCAGCACTTTCCATAAAGGATCTTCATCTTCAGCATTGTGCTGTGGAACAGAAGTAACCATTGGCCACATGAGGACAAAGGTGCATAGCTGGGCTCCGGGACAGCTTTGTGTATGCAAAGTGCTGAGCCAAGTGGCCATCTGCCAACTCCTGACACAGAAAAAGAAAAGAAAGTGGTTTAAAGATGTAGAAGATAAAGGTTTTGTGAAGCAAGTTCCCTAGACTCTCTGAAGGAAGATGACTATAAACTGGCTACAGCAGTCATTTTTAGCCAAGAGGAAAACCAGCCTAGATTCTAGGCGTAATCCCCTGTCCCTCCAGAGACTCAAGGAAACTCGGGTGACAGCCCACATAACCACACAGGAGGAATGGGGCTACACCACAGAGCACACCAATAGTCCAGCCTCAGGCTTTAAGTGCATCTTAAGCTTTTTCTTTTTTTCCCTCTTAAACTCTCCTAACTTCAGGACCCAGAAGCACTGGCTCAGTTAATGCTGTCTATGCCACTAACCAATGATGGAAAATATGTTCTGCTAAATGAGCAACCAGATGGCAATGGCGGAAGTCCAAGTGAAAACAGAGGCGCTGAATCTGAAGCATAACTCACTTAGGCCTCTGGGGTCAGAGCACGCAGGAAGGAGAGCACCCTCCTTAAGGGATTTTCAACTTCTCTGATGTACAGGCACACTGACCTGGTCAGAACGCTGACAGTCGCTTGTGGAATGTTCCTTCCGATGCCTTGATACAGAGACTTGGGAGGGAAACAGTAAGAAATAGGTGACATGGCGCCTACCTATCTACAATGTTATTTTAGGTGCTTTGTGGTAAGTCCTTTCTTCAGACTGTGCTGTTGAGTGCTCAGGCAGAAGCCCTGAAAACACATTTTGGATGTCATCTCTTCGGTTTCTAGGGTGCTCTTAAAATGCAAAATCCCAGATTTGTAATGTGATAAATACTAAATATTTCCTATTAATATAATCTATTTTTGTATTTTACTTAGTTTTTAAGTGCCTGTCATTTTGGGAATTATGTGTTTATAAGGAGCTGGTCTCATGTTTGGACCTTGTAGCATTCCCATGGGCAGTTGAGTAGTGAGCACTGCTCTGAGGCCTGCTCACTGGCAGAGATACAGGGCTAGTACTGGTAACTATTTCAGGCAAAAGATGTTTAACTACAATAGAACCTTACTGATTCGGCATTCAAAAGCTTAAGGTCCACTCAGATACAATGGCTATTCACTGTAACCAGGGGATAGCTAAGATACGATGGCTAGTCACCATGACCAGGGGATAGCTAAGATATGATGGCTATTCACTGTGGCCAGGGGATAGCTAAGATACGATGGCTATTCACTGTGGCCAGGGGATAGCTAAGATATGATGGCTATTCACTGTGACCAGGGGATAGCTAAGATACGATGGCTATTCAATGAGCCAGACCCTCCTTAAAGAAGGGACCAATTAATTGTAAAAACTCACTTAAAGCACAGCTGGCTATGGGACTTGGTGTGAAGTTCCTATTTCTACCCCAGACCACTCTCCACTGTGACCAGGGGATAGCTAAGATACGATGGCTATTCACTGTGGCCAGGGGATAGCTAAGATATGATGGTTATTCACTGTGGCCAGGGGATAGCTAAGATATGATGGCTATTCACTGTGGCCAGGGGATAGCTAAGATATGATGGCTATTCACTGTGACCAGGGGATAGTTGTACTAGTTCTTGTTTCTTATGAGCCAGACCCTCCTTAAAGAAGGGACCAATTAATTGTAAAAACTCACTTAAAGCACAGCTGGCTATGGGACTTGGTGTGAAGTTCCTATTTCTACCCCAGACCACTCTCCAACCACTCCTAATTGTGAAATAAGTATAAAGATCTTGAAATCATACAGTGTGATTAATTGTAACCAAGTTCAACAGCCTATCTTTGTAATACTAATTTAGCAATAAAAATTACTATTTTATCTCTTTCTTTTGTTTATTGTGGTTGTTTTCTAGACCATCCCTAGAAGAAAATTATAAAGTTACAGTACATGGCCCAGGCTGGCCTCAAACTCACAATACTCTTGCTTCTGCCTCCCAAGTGTGGGAATTACAGGCCCATGCCATCTACCTGGCTAGAAGGTTTTGTTGGTAAATTAAGCAACTTTTGCTATCAGGAACAGTGGTTCACACCTCTTAGCTCAATACTTGTGCTGAAGGAGGCTCAGGAGTTCAAGGCCAGCCTGGTCTACATATGGAATTCTAAGCTGCCTGGGCTAAACCGCAAAACCTTGTGTTAAGAAAACAAATAGAGGCTGGAGAACTGGCGCAGTGGGTAATGGGCTTGCTATGCAAGCATAAGGACACTGGTTCTGATCCTCAGAGCTGGGAGAGAGCAAGCCGGGCAGATCCCTAGAGCTTGGGGCCAGCCAGTCTAAGCCATCAGCAAGTTCCAGATCGCTGAGAGACCCTATCTCAAAATGTAAGATGGCCAGTGTCAACCTCTGATATACACACATGCATAAACACTCATAGATATGCAATCATCAAAACTTTTACAACCCAAAACTAGGATAACCACACAGGATCTATTAGAACGTACTCCTTTAATGAATGTATCAGAGATACAGCAAGCAGGCTTAAATCAGTACACTATTATATATACCCTACAGTTTGCTCACTAATACCTTATATAGTTCTATAACAGCAGAATTAGATCACTAAGTTTTCTGACAAGAGCTGGAGAGATGGCTCAGCGGTTAAGAGCACTGGCTCCTCGTGCAGAGGACCTGGGTTTGATTCCCAGCACCCACATGGCAGCTAACAGCAGTCTATTAACTCCAGTTTCCAGGGGTCAGGTGCCCTCTATTGGCCTCCCTGGGCACTGTGTGACATGGATACACTTAATATATGTGCAAGTGAAACACTCATACACATTAAGATCTTTTAAAAAGCTGCAAGAGCTACAGCACCCTAATGTTTTTCCCTTCCTTACAACTTTTCAATGAGGGATCAGAGAGGTGGAGCTCAAGTCCTGAACAATAACAAAGTTGAAATCTAAAGCACTGAACCGAGGCTATGGCTCAGAGGAGCACCTGTCTAGCATGAACAAGGCCCTAGGTTCAACCCCAGTACCACACCAAAACACATACATACCCAGCAAAGCACTGGGACTGACTGAAATAAGACACAAACCATGCAAACCCTACGGGAGAATGAAAAGAAAGTCAGCCCTGAAACTGACCATCAGACACCATGCAATGTTCGAGTGAGAACTTAACTGAACAGACAGCCAAGCACACAAGACCAAGTACCTAGGAGATCTAAAGTCTTTTAAAATTCAGAGTTGTGAAAGGATTTCATAGATAACAGGGGCTCAGAAAGAGAAATGCACTCAGTTTCAATCAGGAAGTCGAAAAGTGAAAGCCACATCCAGCAGCCAGCAAAATCCTCACTGTCAGCAGGCACAGAGCACTGGAGTCTTATCCACAGATGACACAAAGGTTGAGTTTGGTATTCTTGGTACAAAGTCCACCTGTTCCAGCACCCCCCCCCCCATTT